GCACATAATGTGTCGATTTTGACTGTCGTGTGCAACAAAAAGTAGGAGTCCATCCCAGTGGGATCATATTATGGTGTGATTCAAAAGGGATTGAAAAATGGAAAGGAAAAAGCGGGATTTAGATGATTACAGGCCCATAACAACTAAACACAGAAATAAAGATTTTGGCTAAGATCCTAATTATTGGGCGTTTGCAGTTAATGCCGAGAGTCTGTTGGGACCTGACAAAGACATGTGCAAAGAGGTAAAAGAGCTACTAAGCAATCAGTCCAGGGCATTTGATAGGTCAACCATCGATATCTTTTTGAAAAAATTCAGGCCGCCAATACAATTTTTTAAATTTCTGCAAGTGGATTATAATTTCCTGTAGAATTTGATATGCTTGATAACATTGAACGGAAATCGGTTTTAATAATTTTTGCGCTGTCTCGGTCGTTACGTCAGGGTTGCTCACTATCCCTTTTTCATGCTTTGGCGTTTTTCTCCTTTTTTATCTGAGGGACGGAGGGTAAGTGAATAAAATTAAAAAATCGTTAATAAATTATTTTAAATTACAAACTTAAATTGCGTAAAAAATGATGTATCCATTTTCGTGTCGTGCCGTAGGGATTTTTGGAGGTGGTACAGAAGGCGCTTAAACGGCATAAAATAATAAATTTAAATATTTAGATAACCGTAATTTTAATTTCAAATTCATAAATTTGCGGTTTTTTTTAGAAGGGTGTCTTTATTCCGGGACCATCCACTTAGACGGACGGTTCTGTATTCATTTTTGGTGTTTGGTTTGGACCCAATCCAAAAAAGAAAAATTGGTCAGTTTTTTACAGTCAAAGGTGTGAGTTGTCGGTCCGGATTTTTATGAAATAAAATTGAAAGGTAGAGCTGAGGCGTGAGCAGACTTCAATTTCATTTTTTTTACCGCTTGGCTGTATGTGGTTTTAAACAAAACCATAGGAAGGCAATCGAGAGCTTTAAAATAACCGTTTTGTTGGGAAGGTAATCGCAAACAGAAGGTCCGATAATTAAAATTCAAATTTTGCGTCCAACGTCTATATCATGAAAATGGGATTGCCGCACTTGGTGAATCATCGACACTCCTATAATATTTGGCTTTCAATAACGCAGCTTTTTTGAATAGAGGATTTGATTTTGGTGGGGAGTATTTAACCTCCATTAGACTTTTATATAAAAAAAATTGAAAGATGAGCGCCGTTGTATTGATCCCTATAAAATTAAACTTTATCAACGAAGTCAAATTCGGCGTGTTTGAGGGTTTTTAAATCAGTCCTTGACCTTTCACGGCCTCGAAAGGTCTATATATGAATTAGTGGAGGGGGTCGTGAAGGAGCGTCTCTGTGAAAATTAAGGGTAGATTGTTCGATGGACGAGTTTTTTGTTTGCCAGCGGCGAAATACCTCAGTAACACTGAGTTTCTTTTCTTACCTATACGATTGGTTTCTGTAATATGTATCTTTCAACGACATGGCCTTCAGATGGGGCTGGGCGGATTTTATGAAAATATTACCGGTGGGACGTTAATTTAAAAGAAACATTTTTGCACGCCTTCTACCATTCTTCAGGTACACCTTTTTGGGACTATATCGGTTTATGACGGCTTAATCGTTCCTGATCGGTTTTATATTCATCGATCTCGCATACGCGTGCGACAATGTATATATAAATCCGCATTATATGAAAAGAAAATATTTTTAACGCGGATTTTTGGCAAAATGGTGATATGGATGAAACGAAATTAAGGAAATAATACAAGAATAAATTTCTCATCAGGTTTGAAAGATAACTTTCAATTTGAAATTGACGAGAAAAGTTGTTTAAAAGCGTTTGGTGTCGATTTTTTTCCACGATTATTTATAAAAAAATAGCGAGCTATGATTTCGCAAGAACATAAATCCTTAACTTCCATTTTAAGTCCTATTTTCACAAGGGGCGGTTCCTGCGAATTTATGGAAAACCCCTGGTTAAGATAGAATAATATTTGTGTACCTAGTGAGTGAGTAAAATTCTTTTTTGTTCCCGGAAAATTTTTTTAAAAATGAATTAAATGTTGATTCCCTGTTCCAGTTTTAAAAAAATTTTGTTTTCATCTCGATTGTTTCAGTCTTTGATTGTCAGGAGAAGTATATTATTTTTTCACCTCCTTCATTCCATTAGAGAGTGTCTCTTGATTCTTTCTGATGACAAAATACAGTATAAAATCTGATTTTTTTTTTATTGGGGTGGAAAATTTCTGCTAACATCAATTATTTTCTGTTAGTTTTGTTTTTTTATATAATTTTTGTATTGGGATTTATGCCAAAAGAAACCCCATCATTTCAATATTTTGTGAGCATAAAGAGTTATGAATATAAACTGTTTTATATGATTGTTTTATATAATTCCTTCCTTCCTTCCTTTCATTATTCCTTCCTTCTATCTATATATATATATATATAATATCTATATATATATTATATATTATATTATCTATCTATATATCTATCCTCAGATACACCTTTATTATTTTTTTATCTATCTATCTATCTATCTATCTATCTATCTATCTATCAAAAGATTATTCATATCTATCTATCTATCTAAATAATCCGTTCATATCTAAATATTATATAAATATCTATTGGGATTCAGAAATCCCATCATTTACATATCTAAAGATTTATATATATATATATATATATATATATATATATATATAAAGTTATGAAGAACTTGAAAAAAAATGGGTAATTCCAAGGAGGATGAAATCCTGAGAGCTCAAAATGAATACAGAGCTAATATTTAATGAAAAAACAGACCACTTTAAGGTACCATTACAATAATTTATTTCACCAAAATCCTTTTTAAAGGACTCCGGATCATCAGGTAACAATTCCAACAACGAAATGAAAGGAAAATGGGATTAGAAATTGATGGGTAGTAATTTTTGTAATTTAACAGGGAGGGTGAGAGTTGTAGTTAAAAGAGACAAGGTAGAGTATAGGGAGGGGTTAATTTTTCATTCTCTTAAGCATGCTTTATATTGGGGTAGGAGGAGTGACCAAACCTTGACCTATTTAGATGTTTAACTTAACGGAAATGATATATAGGAATGGGAGGGGAGTGGGGAGAAAAGAAAAGGAAAAATGGAAAGGAGAGAGGAGACAGACGACAGTAATACAGATATATCCAAATGAATGTTACGGCAAAGAGAGAGGGGGAGAGGGAAGTGAATCGAAAGAGGCTGTAATTTTGTTTTAACAAAATTATGTAAAAGATAGATTTCAATGCTTGATAGAAATTTGTATGTCTAAAAATGATGAATGTTATCAATTTAAACATTTAATTTTTTAAGTAAATAGTTTAGGGACTTAATATAAGTTAACTACTATTTTTATTAGCACATTTATCGAGAACATATTAAAGAAATATTTAAAACTATAATAGTTTATTTACCCGACCAATTGTACTTCCATAATATTGTAATATATATATATATATATATATATATATATATATATATATTTATGGAACATTTGTACATAAGAGATTTTAAATTTATAATTTTTAGGGTCCCTTTAAAATTTGGTATTTTCATATATGTAGGAATTAAAGGATGAAGGGGAAAGTCTTTTGTTGAATGGGTTATTTGTATTAAATGAATATATTTGAATCAGGTTAGCTAGGTAGAGGATAGGTACGGATGAAAACCCCAACCCCCCACTTTAAAAATATAAATATTATATTTTGCAGTAATAAATATATATATTCTATCTATCTATCTAAATATATATATCTATATTGAAAATCATAAATCTATATGATTATCATATCTATCTATCTAAAAAATCTAAACATTTTTCAAAAATCTAATATATCTATCTATAGTTCATATATATCTATCTGATTCTTTCCATATTATCTGAATCTTTCATATCTTATCTATCTATATATCTATCTATCTATCTAAATGAGAAGAACTGCGTATAAATAATAAAATGCCAGTAAAATGTAGAAAAAATAAGTTTTAAAAGAATTTTACAAATATCCTTTTTCGGACTAAAAGTTGTTTTGGGAAGTTCAGAAAATTCTCCAAATCATTTTGAGATATTTTAAGATAAAAAACATACTAATCGAGAAAAATGCAAACGGAAAAGAAGGCAATGTTGATAATTCTATCTAAATATCTATCTATCTATCTATCTATCTATCTATCTATCTAAAATATATTAATCTATCTATCTATCTATCTAAATCTATTATCTATCTATCTATCATCTGCTAAATTTCTATAATATATATATATATATATATATATATATATATATATATTAGATTATTATTGTCTCATCGAAAATGTTTCATTATCTATCTGTTTAACTATTTAAGTATTTTTACTATCTCAATCTTTTTTATTATCTATCAACCTCATTCACACTGCTCATATCTATCTATCTATTATCTATCTATCTATCTATCTATCTTTTTAAATCCAATCTTTTTTAATCAATTCACCCAAAGTAAGGCGATAACACCACTAAGACGTTAAATTTAGAAACTGGCAACGAATTGTGACAGTGGGGCTAATTGTTTAATGACAGTAAAAATCAAGAATCGTGGGTTTAATAAAAAAATGTGAGTAAAACAAGCTAAAAATTGGTGACAATGTTCCTAATTAAATAGTTATATATTTATAAATATTACACAAAAAAAAAATCTCATGTTATTGTTCAACCAATACAAGTTTCAGGCTGTTCTTTATCTATCTATCTATCTATGTATCTATGTATCTATCTATCTATCTCAGACTGTTCTTAACTATCTATCTATCTATCTATCTCAATTTGTCCTTATCTATCTATCTCTGTTCTTATCTATCTATCTATCTAGAAGAAGAAGAAGAAGAAGAAGAAGAAGAAGAAGAAGAAGAAGAAGAAGAAGAAGAAGAAGAACACGCATGAAAAGAGGGATAAAGAAGAGAGCAAGAACTATGAAGAGGGCGAGAATTATAAAGTGGATGAAGAGGAGTGATAAAGAGGAGAGCAAGGATGGAGATGAATGGTAAGGAGGAGAGCAAGGATGATTAAGAAGAGATCAGGAATGATAAAGAGGAGAGCAAGGATGACGCAGAAGGACAAACAGGAGAGCATGGACGTAGAAGAATGGTAAAGAGAAGAGCAAGAATGATAAAGAAGAGGACAAGAACAATAAAGACGTGAACAAGAATGAAGAGAATAAGGAGAGCAAGGATGAAGAAGAATGGTAAAGAGGAGAGCAAAGATGATGAACAGGAGAACAGGATTGATAAATGGGAGAGCGCATATTAAGAAGAGGGCTGAAAAGGAGAGCAAGGATGATAAAGTGAAGAGCAAGGAGAACAGGAATGATAAAGCGGAGAACAAAATGAAGAAGAGGATAAAGAGGAGAGCAATGATGACGAAGAATGGTAAAGAGCAGCTTAAGAATGATTAAAAAAAGGAGAGCAATAATGATAAAAAGGTGAGCAAGGATGATTAAAAAGGAGAGCAAGGATGATAAAAAATGGCGTTATATAACCAAGGATGATTAAAAATGTTTAAGGATGATAAAAAAGGTAAAGGATGAAGAATATTTTTTAATATGTAATGAATGCATAATAAAAAACGAAAGCAAGGGGGCTTATATAAAGAGAATATATAGGATAGATAATAGTTGACGCTAGACTTGAAGAGATTAATTGTAATTCATTCTGCAAAGTGGCAATTCAGGATAAGTAGCGGGACATCTTTTTTACAAATAAAACAAGGGGGGGGAATGAGGATGATTCGACTCTGTGTACGTGGTATGGCTTGGAAGTTCATGGAGGTTTGAACTTTTGGATTTAACAAATTACAAAACCTTGTCTGGACATTTGCCATACAAATCGCGATGGAGTACGCAGATGCTAGCAACGTTTCGTCTGTTGGAAAGGGGTCGCAAGGTGGAAAATAACGAATCACCCACAAGGATATGGAATCGCTTTCCAAAAATAGTTTGAATTAACGGAGCTACTGCTACACAAAAATCAAATCCACAAATATTTTAACACCCCCTGAAGATGGTCTTACTCGGGAAAAAAATTATTAGAAAGAAAATTTAGGAATTTTTCAAAATCAATCAATTCGTGGACTTGAAAGGATTAAAACTAAAATAAATATACAAAATACTTTTAAGTTATTTAACCTAGCCTGCTCGAATGAAAATATGCTGCCTAAGTACTATATATATATATATATATGTGTGTGTGTGTGTGTGTGTATAGATAGATAGATAGATGAGAATAGTATGAATAGATATATAAGAAGAGTCTTAGATAGATAGATAGATAGATAGATAGACATAAGATAGAGATAGATAGATAATGAATTTTGAGATGGCGAAATAAGAATTGAATAATAATTAATAATAATATATATATATATATATATATATATATATATATATATATATATATATATATATATATAATAAACACATTGAGAGCTGGTGTTAAAAAAAATAGTGTTCAATGTAATATAACTGATAATTTAATAAAATATATATATTTAAATATATATATATATATATATATATATATATAGAGAGAGAGAGAGAAGAAGAAAATTGAGAGAGAGAAAGAATGAGAGTAAAAAATAATATTTATTTAAAGATTATAACATAAGCATGTCCACAATCAGTAATCAAAAAAATATTGCAAATCAATACCATCAATTTGCAAGACACCAGAAATGTTGAAACAAAATGGCTATATTTGCAGTGATAAAAATAATATTCATATGTCAAAATTTTAACCTTTAATTTGAATTTATTCGCTCTAAATAGAATATTGATTCTTTTTTTTTTGAAATAGTGATTTATGTTATCTGTACATATATGTGTACATTCATATATATATATATATATATGAAAAAAGACAAAAGGAAATTTATCTTAGCCGACGTGTAATTCTACCTCTGAGGTACTTTATCAATACAAATGTTATAATATAAATATATATATATATATATATATATATATATATATATATATATATATATATACAATTGTGTAATTTTATTCAAAAATTTGAAAATGGTTTTCTCGAAAAAAATAGTTTTGATTATAACTAAAATGATCGCAAAATTGGAATTTATTATAATTTGAAAATATTCATAACTGAATATCAGTATTTACATTAGTCGGACTATTGTCCTCATCTTTGTCGCCATATTTGTCACAACGTTTCGGCCGTTGTACGCTCCGGCCTTCTTCAGGTGGTTGGAATTTCGAACTGAACCCTTTATTTCGATCACTGGGGTAGACTGTTCTAGTTCCACGTGCCATGTTTGATGGATGTCAGTTATCAGTTATCTCCTGCTAAATTTTCCCTCTGAAAGTTCTCCACTGCCTTAACCAGGAATTGAACTCACCTTCTTTGGGTCTGTCACTGGATCTAACCAACGCCTTTATCCACTGTGAAATGTGTGAATAAAGGGTTTCAGTTCGAAATTCCTACCACCTGAAGAAGGCCGGAGCGTACAACGGCCGAAACGTTGTGACGAAATATGAAAAAAACAAAGATGAGGACAATAGTCCGATTAATGTAAATACTGTACATAATACCTCATCTCAGAAATATAGACAGAAACTGAATATCACTGTTATTTTTTTTTAAAATAAAAACAAAAATACTAAAGAACATCGGATTATTAACCTAACGTGTTCTTTCTATACATTTGCACACACACACACACCCACACACACACACATACACACATATAGATAGATAGATAGATAGTATGAATTTGATAGATAGATAGATAGATAGATAGATAGATAGTATGAATTTGATAGATAGATAGATAGATAGATAGATAGATAGATAGATAGATAGATAGATAGATACCTGTTCATCACATTATTTTTAATATAAATACAAAATATATCTATTTTTACAGGGCTCAGATAGGTAAGATAGGTTAAGGTAATTATATAGATAGATAAATAGATAGATAGATAGATAGATAGATATATAGATAGATAGATAGATAATGCAGGCTGTGAGATAGATAGATAGATAGATAGATAGATAGATAGATAGATAGATAGATAGATAGATAGATAGATACCTGTTCATCACATTATTTTTTAATATAAATACATCCGTATCTATACCTACACGGGCTCAGATAGGTAAGTAATTATGTACGTATTATTTATTATATAGTCGAAAAGTAAACACGTGAATAATGGGGTATAGATTGGATTTGCTTGCAATATTCCAAAGACCGTGTTGGCGTCTCTACATCCATTGATGTTGTGCACATGCGTCTAGATGCAGCACCCCCCCCCAACCTCGTGCTTTTTGCGAGGTGATCGCGAGTGACGGCGAAACAGTGTGGTTTTTATTCGATTAGGAGAAGCGACGCTGGTGCAAGTCTTTTAAATCAATGAGAATTTTCGTATATATGCGATGACGGGCGAGAAGCGTATTGGATCGAGAGTAACGATGTAATGAGAATGGAGGGAACGAGAAAAAAAAACAAAAAGGAGAGAGAGAGTACGCAGGAAAGCCGAAAGACGGGTGAGAAAGATAGGAAGATATACGGGGAGGGAGGGAAGGAGGGAGAAAGGTTTGCAACGTAAACGCTAAAAGCGAAATGTGTAAAGACAAGCAGAAGGAAAGCTGGAATGATAAGAAAAAGTAGGAAAAAAGAAAATGGCGGAGAGAGGCAGGTAAAGTAATATATCAAAATGCATGAGAATAAATAAATAAATAAATAAATAAAATGTAGAGACGGTAAAAAGAAAAGGGAGAGCCGTTAATAGAGTTTTTTTGTGGAGGGGGGATATCTCTTAAGAGCTATTGTGAGACAAACGAGACTTGCACAGATGTGACGTCATTGAACGAGATGTGAATTTCTTTTTTTCTTGTTTTATTTTATTTTTTTTTTTTTGTATGGTATGCCCTGCAAAGACAAAGTACATACGTTTGGAATAATCGAGTCTTAGCTGGGAAGAATTGAAGAATAAACATTACGTAAGTAAGAAAAGACTTTAAAAAGAGAATAATTGAGGAAAATACGTAGATAGATAGATAGATAGATAGATAGATATAAACAGACTAGATAGATAGATAGAAAATATATAAATAGACTAGAAGATAGATAAATAGATAGATAGATAGATATAAAACAGACTAGATAGATAGATAGATAGATAGATAGATAGATAGATAGATAGATTTGAACAGATTGAGATAGATAGATAGATAGATAGATAGATAGATAGATAGATGGATAGATAGATAGATAGTTGAAACAGAATTAGATAATAGACTGATAGATAGATAGATAGATAGATAGATGAGATAGATAGATTTGAATAGACTGAGATAGATAGATTGATAGATAATAGAGAACAGATTGGGAAGAGACAAAAAAGATAGATAGATGGATTGAAACAGAGATAGATAGACAGAGGGATAGATACATAGATAGATAGATGGATATAAACAGAATAGATAGATAGATAGATTTGAACAGACTGAGATAGATAGATAGATAGATAGATAGATAGATAGATAGATGAATTAATAGATAGATAATAGATTGACGAAAACGGATATAAAGATAGAGATAAAAGAATAAAAGTAAATTGTGTACAAAAAGTTATAATAGACGAGAAGAAGAAGAAAAAGAAGAAAAAGAAAAAGAAGATAAAGAAGAAGAGGAAGAAAACGAAAAAGAAGAAAAGGACGGCAATAAAGAAAGAGATCGAAAAAAAAGGAAAACGATAAAAAAACTAAGAAACTGTGTATAAACAAGGAACAATTGACACAAAAAAGATGAAGAAAACTGATAAATAATGAAGTAAAAATGACAAAGAGGAGAGCAAGAAAGCAAACGGAAAAAGAAGTTAACGTGGATGAAGAAGAAGAAAGAGGGAATCAAGAATGCAAAACAAGAATTAAAATGTGAGCCATGATGAATAAGAATGATAAAATGGCGATCATCTTGTATCAGGTTGCACGATATTGACACCCACTGAATATAAAACCCGGCATGACAGAGTGGGCCAATATCTGCACTGGAAAATCTGCAACTTCCACGAGAAGGAAACTGAAAGAAACTGGTATGAACACCACCCAGACCCGGTTACGGAGATAGGACCTGTTACAATTCTATGGGACTACACAATACACACTGACAGAACAATCAAAGCCAACCGCCCAGACATTGTTATTAAAGACCACAAACAAAAAAGTGCCTCCTTATTGATATGGCAGTCCCTGCAGACTGCAATGTATCTTTGAAGATATTCAAAAAGCTGTCAAAATACAAGGACCTTGAAATAGAAATCTCGAAAATGTGGCATATGGGAACATCAACAATCCCTGTTGTAGTTGGAGCCCTCGGATTGGTTGGAAAAGATTGCAGTAGACTAATTGAAGGGGTTTCTGGAAGTCCATGCCTCAAGGAGATACAAAAAATTGTTCTGACAAGTACAGCCCACACTTTACGAAGGGCTTTATCTGTCTATTTTTTTTTTTTTTTTTGGTCAGTGTCATGATGCCATTTCTAACCTTAGGTCCCTGGGGAAAGAAATGTGTAAACGCCAGAAATCAAAGAAAAAGAAAATAATAATAATAATAATAATAATAATAAAATAATAATAAATTAATAATAATTCAAAAAAATAATAAAAATGAAGAGAATAAAGAAATAAAAATTATCGAAAATTATCCAAATACAAGGAAATTGAAATCGAAATTAACAGGATAGAATGATTTTTCGAAAGTTGTACCAATAGTAAGGAGCATTTAGTTTTTCGAAGAAAAAAATATTTAACAAAATAAAATTCTTTTTTTTTAATTAACATCAACAAAAAAGTTCCACCAAGAAGATCACCCTTAATAGGAACATCCCATATACTAATAAAAAGTAATTATCAATTAAATGATTTTTTTTTTATTTTTTTTAAGGACCATAGTTTGGTTTGCTTGGAAAAACATAACAACAGCTATGAATAAACAAAAATAATAATAATATAATAATAATAATTATAATTGAAATAATATATTAATAATAAAAAAAAAGAAACGAAAATGAATATGTTAAGTTTATTTTATTTTCATTTGGCAATAAGTAATTAACTCTTTTTAATTGAAAATAAAAAATATAAAAAAAATGAAAAAAATTATTATTCCTTTGTTTTTGCAGGAGCATAATTAAAAAAATATTAAAGTGAAAAGAATGAAAATTTAAAAAAAAAATAAATTGAATAAAATCCAAGCCTCTTAATATAAATTTTAGCCATTAAAAAATTTTCGGAACATTTAAAAAAATTATAAAAAAAGAAAAAATTAAAAGATTGAAAAATGAAAAATTTACCGTAAAATTTATTTTTTTTTCAAATTTAAAAAAAAAATAATAATAATAATAATAATAATAATATAATTAATAAAAATTATGTATAAAAATTAATAACATATATCATATTAGATTGATACAAAATTACAAAAAGTATTACAAAAAATTTAAAAATAAAAAAAATGCTGAATGATTAAAAGAATTGAAATATATAGATTTAGTTACGATAAAACCAGAGAATAGTTAGGATCAGATTTTTTAAAATAAATAAATATATATAATTATTATTATTATTTATTATATTTAATATTATATATAAATAATAAAAAAAATATAGAAAATGTGAATTTCAATTTTCATTTATATGGTAAAATTTCAAAAGAAAAAATTGAAAAAATTTATAAGAAAAAAAAAAATATTTATTTATCAAATATTTTTAATAAAATAATGTTAATAATTTTAAAAAAATTATTATTAATAAAAAATAAAAAAAATAATAATAAAATAATAATACAAAATAATAATTTAATAAAATGTCCCAGGTAAATTTTTTCTGAATAAAAAAAAGAAAATCATTAATTTTGACAGAAAATGTATATAGAAAAACTAAAATTTCATAATATATCATGAATAAAAATCAAAATAAGGACGATATTTAATTTTATTTTATATAAAAATAAAATATTAAAACATACACACAAAAATAATTATCCCTTTTTATAATAAAAAAAAAACATTTTTATATTTGATAAAAAAAAAATTTAAAAAATTATTTAAAAAAGGAAAAAATGAATAAAAAAAAAAAAAACTTTTATTAAAGAATGAAAAAAATCAAAAGAAAAAAACTTTTGACTGTGACAAAATTTTTTTAAAGATTTAAACAAATTAGAAAAAAAAATGAAAAAAATAAAGAAAGTTAAAGAAATAAGGAAATAATATATATACATTGAATGATATATTTATATTTATTTAATTTTAAATCAATATTTTTTTGTTTTATTTCATGTTAATTATTTACTTTTTTTTTTTTATTTTTAAAATTCTTTATTTTCAAATTAATCCTTTTTTTAATAAGAACCCTCCTAAAATTCAGCTATTTTTTTATATATTTTTATTACTATAATTTTAAAAATAAATGTTACGAAAAAAAAAAAAAAAAAAATTCTGTCGAAAATAAATTTAAATTTAAAAAATCTAATAAATTTTATTGAAAAAAAAATTTTTTGTAAATTAACAAAAATAAGAATTTTAAATTAACAATATAACAAATATATTTTATAAATATATCATATATATATATATATATATATATATATATATATATATATTAATAGTGAAATATATTGTTGTATTTTGATTCTTATTCATTAACATTTTTATATTTTTTATCAATAAAAATATAAAAGAAAAAAAACAAAAAAAAAAAAAGTTTCGATTCCAAAATAAAATCATTAAAAAAATATTTTTTGAGTTTAAACAGATAAAAAAGAAGATGTGAATATAAGAACAAAAATTTTGTTAACCTAAAAAAATGAAAATGCAAAAAAAAAAAAAATAATATTATAATAAATTTAATTATTGTCAAATTTTATTTTAAAATGTAAAAAATTAGCTAAAATCAAAAACCTAACAGAGGAAATAATTCAAAAAATTGATAAAATATATTTTTCCAAGTTTTCTGAATAAATGTTAAAAATGAAATAAAACATAATGGGATTTGATCATTTTGAAAAAAATAAATTAAATCTTGGAAACATTTTGGAAAATTTTTAAATTTATAAAAAAAAAATATTCTATCTTATCAGGAACATTTTTTAAGGAATATTTGAAAATAAATATTGAAATTTTATGCTGAATCTAATATATATAAAATTAAATATTAACAATATTAAATTTAAAAAATAAATATTAAACAATTATATCAATATATGAATGAATAAATAAATAAAATTAAAAGAATATACTAGATCATATATCTTCAGAATTGATTCCATTTTTTTTTTTTTATTAAGGAATAAAGAAAAAATCCATGAAAAAAATAATATAAATCTTAAAATATAATGAAAAATTTAAAAAAATGAAAAAATATAAAAATAAAAGAATATCATGAAAACAAAAAAAAAAAATAATGATAAAAATAAATATAAATATTAATTAAATAAAAATATAGATATCATCATATGATTCATGTTTAACTTTCATTTGAAATCTTAAATGTTAAATATTTTTTTTTTTAATATACAAGACATATATATATCATATAACAAAAATAAAAATAACAAGATTCTTTAAATAAAATCTTCATTTAAATATTTGTTAATTTCCTGAATAATTTCTAAAATTTCGAGTTCCTTTTTGAAAATTTATTTGATATTTAAATAAAATGGAATTTTAATAATAAAATTAGTTTTTCGTTAATTTTGTTGATATTAAATGCAAAAGTTTCGACAAAAAAGTTTTAATTAAGCGTATATTTTTAAATTTTATATGTAATATATTTGATTTTATTAAATTAAAAAAAAAAAAAAATTTAATTTTTTCATTTTTTTTTGGATAAGGATTTTATTAATTTTTTTAAAAATGATAAATTAATTAAAAATTTATTAAAATCATTATTCATATTTCCAAAAATAAAGTTTAAATATAATTATTTACATTAAACAAATCGAAATTTAATCTATTAATTATTTTTCAAAATAACTTCATTATTCAAAAAAAAAATAAACCTAAATATTATAAAATTAAAAAAATTTATGAAATTAAATTTTTTTTTTTTTTTTGTGAAATAAACTTATTCTTTAATAAAGAATAAATTGCAAAATATATTAAATAAATAAAATAAAGTAAATTTTGATTTTCAAAATTAATTTATTATTTAAAGAAATGAATTTAAAACAAAAAAAAGGAATAAAAAATAATAAATATTTGTAAAAATAACATTATACAGAAAAATTTATTTAAAAATTTAAATTTAAAGTCAATAGAAACAAATATTGTTTGAAACAAAAAAAATAAATTAAAAAAAATGGTATAAACAGAAACATTAAAAAAAGAATATATACCAAATAATTTTAAAAATAGATACGTCAAATAAAAAAAGAAATAAAAGATAATTCTTACATTAACAAAAAGAATAATGTACTCTTTAAAATTTTTTAATGCCAAATTTTAGATTTCATCATTCAAAAAATAGTTTTAAAAAATTTTTGTGTGGTTATTTCAAGCTAAAATATGATTTACAATTTATAGGAATCTTGACATGAAATTCAAAAAATAATAAAATTGAAAAGATTGATTAAAAAAAGATGGCAAAAAAAAGAAACTTTATTGTTTAGCAAAGAATTGTTTTATTAATTTATAGATATTTAAAAAAGAAAAGTTATTATAAATATATTATAATTAATTTTATATAAAAGTTTGTAGGAGATTAGAAAAAAACAAGTTCTTACATTTTATTTATTAATAATTATAATATTTTCATTAAAATGAAAATAAATTAAAATTAAATTATCCGATTTTTTAAAAATTTATATTTATTTAATAATATATATTTAATAATGATTTTGCATCATTTTCAAACACTGGTTCCCGGGACGACAATAAAAATTAATAA